GAAAGATGTAGAGTCGTCAACTTTTTTGAAGGCAAGAGATAGGCCTAAATAAAATGTTTTTAATTGTGTACTAGTTTAATGTTGAATATTATTTATGATTTTAGCTTTACCATAATTATATCACAGACAATCTTCATTATTATAATTCCCATACTTGAATTCATCAATCAATAAACTCTGTTATAATTACATAAAATTTTGATTTTCCATATCATATTTGCTATGTTTGAATAAACCAACAGTTGGTAACATGTAAAATGTCAGGCCTTTTTTTTTAATTGTTAATTTTACTATTTGGTAACATAACCAGTTTGAAGTTTTTTAAGAATCTTTTCAATCTTGTTGATTGGCATTAAGTATAAGATATTAAGCTTGCAAACTCTGAGAAATAAAATAAATAATTCTTTGCTAACTCCAAGTATTACAAAATACATTTATATAATGTCTGACTATGTATCTACCAGTTCTTAAACTGATTTTTTATCTCTTTCACATAAGTTGTATTGAAAGTCTGTGAATTATAATATTATTTATATATATATATTTTAACCAATTACCAGATATTTTACCAAACATGATTAATTCCTACAGAAAGATGTTTTAATAATTACTAAGTTATTAAGCAGAATAAAATTGATTAATGTAAAACAAACTCAGTAACCAAAAACTACTACTGTAATATGAATCTTAAACAAAAATTAAAAAAAAAGTTTTGAATTTCTGGATAAACCAAAGTTACCCCAAACTACAAACATAATAAATAATTGATTTAAACAGTAGTTTAAAATTAATTTGATTTTAGCTTTGGCCATGAAAATAAACAAAAATATAGTATTGTATGTACTAAATCAGATATGTTTGATATTTAATACGTTGCACAAGTGTAACAGAAACCACCCTTTCTTGACATGCCATTTTCTCACCTTGAACGATATAAGAAGCAATTAGTGCAGCCGTGTTGTCATTACACTGTAAAGCTCCTTGAGCAAGGTCTTGCTTGATTTGAAGACTAAAAAGGTACCTTTTACATAAGATAAAGAGAGTATTAAGAAATTTATTATGGATATACCATATGCCTAACAACAGAACATAAATATTGTTTCAATGAATTACCATGATGGTTGCCCAGCTGACTTGTAGATATTACAGATCTTACATTCCATACTCAAAATTCAACGGAAGAAATTAATGACATCCATGAAAATTAAAATTACAAAATAATTCAAGTAAAATTTATTATCACTTAGATGAATCTATTAATTCACTGATAATACTAGATTTATAAAAAATTCAAATGAAAAGCTTACTAAGAAAAGTAAATAATTAATTTTATTGTGATATTACCAGGTTGTTCTAACTATGCAAAACCTTTATTTTTTGGAAGTTACGTATATTTCAAAAGTTTCTTGTACTTTTGCATCTGTTTCAATAATAGTAAACTGGTTCATTCTGTGACATACATAAAACCTTATCACCTCTGAGTTATAACAGACTGTATATAGTGTTGTTCTAAGCTCACACACATGCACAAAAGAAACCAGTTTCCACCTGATTAATTCAGGAGTTTAAAAATTATGGAAAAGTAAAATTGAGTTCAAAGTGGGATAGCCATCCCAATTTTCAATCAACCTTTGTTCAAGAATGTTTGTGCTAGATACTTGTGTAGGTCTAAGAATAATGTTATTCAAAATCATATGATAATTATAAAAATAGTTTATAATAAGCATTTGAAAAACATAAATTACCCTTTAATAAAGTTTCTAATCTTTTTTATGGAAAGAATGATAACTCTGTTTCTCACCTACAGAGTCACAGGAAGGTAATATTTTTCTGTGATAGAAGAAAAACTCAAACATACCCTTCAGAGAAGTGTGTATAATATTACATGAATCAGATGATGTGAGTGAAACAGTATTACAGTAACACTGCCATTTTTTTTTTTTTTTGCTCCACAGTATCTTGGTCTTTTTTTATGATTTTGGTCCTGGAAATTTTATTTTTTTTAAAACGTCTTGGAAACTGAACTCTACACAGCATGTTTAAAATAGATAACCAGCATTTATTATCCTTCTCTCATCATGAATTCCCAAGATTTTCAACAAGGTTTTTAAGCATTCTAAAATCCAGTATATAGTTACATATATGCAAGGAATAAAAATTACTCTCCTATAGTAAATAATGTTCTTCATCAGTTTCAGACTTGTCTGAGCAATCCCAGGAGATTAACAAAATTTCTTATGCACTAGTGAAGAAGAAAGAGACTTGAAGCTGAATCTAGGAATGGAGATGAACCTATGTAGGCATATTCCCTTAAAAGTCAGTGGTAACTTGCACATGGTTTTCCACAGATTTGTTGACCTCTTCTCCAAGGACAAAGGTTAGGGTTATGTTGAAAAAAGCAGTCTTACAGAAAAAAAACATTTCATCTTGGGTTAAAATTTAAGCCATCAGTGCGATGCTACATTTTCATTTCTTCACCATTCCTCCTATGCCATCACAAAGGTTTTTGCTATTTGGAGTTGCAAACATGTTGATTCCAACTTGGAATCCAGTTTGTGGTGGCATAGACTGATGGAAATGTATCAGTTTCTTCAGTGGTCATCACAGCCATCACTGGAGTAACATTCGTTTTTTAAATCAGGAAAGAGTAACTATTACAGATATATGTTTTAAAGAGCCACTGATTATGCAGAAATTTAAAATATCAAAACTTGTAACTGACCAGCAAATGCAAATAAATATTCTTTGATTTGAATTTAAGCAGAAATGTGCACTCAAAAGCTAAACAAAGTCTGAACAAGCAGGTTACTGCATTCCTGAGAAAACTGATTGGAAACTGAAAAGAAAGAAACATTAACACTCTTAGGAATTACCAGCAGCCCTACTAAGTCTGTGTGAAAAGAATAATGTGTCTGAATCCATAAGCCATGATGTGATTTGACATAAAAATACGTAAAATGTCTGTTTTAAGGCTGTTGATCAGTCTTAGAATAAAGTTTTTTAACTGTATACCAAAAACTTTGATCATTAAGAGTATTTAATTATATCTACACAAGGACCTTGAATTTTAGCATTATAATAATGGACAATAATGTTAATTTATTTAGGGCCAGTTATGAAGCAAGCCTGGAAGGGTTTTATACTAAATGAACAAAACTGCACTAGTGATCATACTCTCACTTAAAGTACACTAATTAGTTACAATAAAAAACATTTTGTGTTTGCATTTTTTGTTCCTTATCATTTTCCTGTGAACAATGTGAATTAATCTAGATAAATAAAGTATTCGAATAGCATTTAGAGAGCATGATTAGAATATTACTGAACTTTTAAAAATAGTATTCATATATTTAAAACCATACCTGGTATATTCTTCTTCCAGGTGAGCTGGATCGGGAGTATAAAACTTCACACGGAAGTACATTACAGGATTAACAAGTGGCAATCCTAACTGTTGACACATAGGTTTATTATGGTCCAGCCAATACTATAAACCAAAAAATAGATATATGAACATAAACAATCATAACAAGCAAAACCAATTTTACAAAATAATGCCAATCATTCTCCAAGTACAAAATTCTGCAAATCAAGCCAATAATGATCAGTAATGTGATCTAAAATGCAAATGACTGGGCATTGAGTCTACTACATACATATATTGGTATACCATAACATTGTCTCAGCTGTCACTTTCAAGTTAATTACAAAGATTAAGCGCTCCAAAATGTACACGAATTCTGAATATCTCTCAAAGATGGCAATAGTATTACTCCAGGTAGTTATAGATCAATTAGTCTTACATGAGTTGTGGGAAAAGTTTGTGAAAGTCTTATAAAATATGATTCGCAAAATCATTTAATAAAGTTTAAATTTTGTTGGAGAGTCAACACAATTTAACTAAGAGAAAATCTTGCCTTACTAATCTATTGAGATTATCTGAAGAGGTTAAGATTTATCTAAATGAGGGTAAAGGTGTGGAATTGGTGTATGTGAATTTTTAGAAAGCATTTGACAAGATGCCAAATGAAAGGGCTGTTAATAAAATTACCCCTAAAGGTGTGGGGGATGCATTAGCCCATTGGATAGAAAAGTGGCTGGATGGAAGAAAGGAGAGAGTTGTTACAAATGAATTAATGTCATAAGTGAGTACCTCAGGGATAAACGTTAGGATCTTTGCTTTTTTTTATTTAGATCAAGGACATTGATGAAGGAATGATTAATAGATTACTTAAATTTGCTGATGATATTAATGTCTGAGAATGTCATTGATTTACATTATTGGTGAGTTAGTGAATAAAAACCATGCAGCTTTAATTATGATAAATTAAAGGTAATGGATGCAGGATATCATAACTGAAATCATAAGTACAATTTTGATGGGAATAACCTTAACAGTGTTATGAAAGGAAAGTGTTTAACCAGTTTAAGTATACCTGGACAGGCTCCACTCACCACAGAGTGGGATCCAGAAAGAAAAAGAAGGACATGCCCCTGAAAAATAAGAGGTATATATATATATATTTAAAAGTAGCTTACCCAGTCACAGTCTCACAAAAGAATTAAAGATAGCAACAGGTGAATGGCAGTAGCCCAACAAGGAAGAAACAGCTACCCAAAGCAGAGAATGGGAGATGAACATATGAAATGTAGTCCCAGTGCTACAGACAAAACCCTCCAATGGACGACAGAGTAGACGTGTAGGGAAAAGGGAAGGTGTATGAGTGGAGACATTAGGAAGTGATGACAGGGGGAGAAGGAGACAAGGAATTAAAGGCCAATCAAATCACAGTCCAAACCCAATGGGTAAGGGAGAACAAAGAAGTGGAGTAAGGGAAGGAAACCATGGGAAATGGAGTCAACATAAAGAAGCCTTGAAAACAATGAAGCAACCCACAGCATGTACTGGATAGAGAAGATAATCTGAAGAAGAAGAAATGTGGAAGATAGTAAGAAACGAAACAGTTCAATAAAATTTACCACATGAGCCACTAAAATGTAGGTTAATAATATGGTTCCAGAACAAAAGAAACAAATCGAGCTGAAACAGCCAAGAAAACCAAAGCAGTGCTGCCCAAGAAAGATCAATCAGAAAGATCTGAGGCGGAGTGACATGGATGAACAAAAATGTGGGGAAGAACACTGATGGAATGAGAAAAAAACTAATGTTATAAACTGGAAGTAAATCTATCTGAACTTAATGACAGTCAATTCCAGTTGATGATGAACCAGAGATCAAAAACAAAAGAGGTAACTAAGTGGGTAGTGATAAATATTCAAAAACTTCCCATGTAGGAGTACCCCATAGAAGGCAGAGCCACCGAAAATGAGAAGATTGAGAGTTCACTCGTAGAGAGAAAGTGTGGTGGGAATGTAAAGTCAATTAGTAAAAAAAGAACAAAGCATCTGGAACACAACCCTCCAGGAGATGTATGTCAAGGTTTAAAAAAGAAAATCATTGTTTACCACACAAGGAACAAGAATGAGTGTCCCCTTGGCAAGTGATATAAGCCACCACCGTCAAAAAGTCTAAATGAAGCAGGATTAGTTAAATCAGACAAAAGAAAGAGAGTGAACTAAAGCACCTTGGACTGGCAGAAGAACCTGAGTGTGAAGGGAATAAGACCTTTCCTCTGTAGACCATTGTCCTGAAGCCTCCTACTGATCAGAATGAAACAAAAGAACAACTAAAAAAAGTGTATTGAAGTGTAAAAACATAACCATACTCCATATTAAAGAGAAATGTATTGAAGTATAAAAACATGACCATATTCCATATTAAAGAGAAATGTTTGAAGTATAAAAACATCACTATACTTCATACTGAAGAGAAATGTATTGAAGTGTAAAGATGTAAAGCAACCTCTATCAATGATAATTTATATTTATAGGCTGAATGACCAATTATTTTCATTTTAGATCATAAAAATGAGGGGCTAAGTGACATTATTTTATAATAGAGACTTTATCTTATCATAGCAAAATACTGTAAAGTAGAATTGTCTTTTAATTGTTTTGTGCAGTGTACATTTACTTAACATGCACAAATACACACACTCAAATACCAATGACAAAATTGAAGCACAAATTTACAACTAGGGACTTCTCTGACTACCAGTGGATTTATTTTTTTTATAAGTGGACCTAATAAAAATTAGCATTTAATAATTTGTAAGTACAGAAATTGTCAAATAGTAACAATATGAAATTTCTTAGTTTTATATTTATTAAAATGTACTAGAAAGAACCTCATCTAGTATTCTCTTACATTTTTGAATTTTATTCCTGATGATACTAAAACAATATTTTGCTAATTATACCAGTTGATGATAAGCACTTTGATGTTAATACTAAAATCAAAACAACTAAAGTTACAAGGATTTGTTATATATTCTGGTAAGTATACATAAGGATTAATTTAGTAATTGCTGAAGAAAATGTACACCGATAAGTACGATAAGTAGATAAGTACGTATGTAATAGTGTATATTTTCTTTTAACTTAATGTTAAGTACATCTGACAATACAATACTTTATTTCAAGTTTAGATCTATGGATCATCATGCAGTCTATCATTGGCAGTCTATTGTTTTTAGGTACAAAGTCTCACTAGGATAGACTCACAGATATTCTCAAAGGCCTTGAATCTTGATGTTGTAGAAATGTTAAAGTGACAATCTTTAAAACACTTTAAATGTTAAAAAATAAAATTTTTGTTTTATCATCTAAATTATCCTTATATATTTTTGAGAAAACAAATCCATTTTACTTTCTATATTGCATAGCTGAAATTAACAAATATAACCTTAATTAAAACAAACAGTAAATGCTTTTATATTACAAAATGTTGATATACATCTACTACAACAATACCCAGTTTTTGTCTGGCCTGAAAATGTGTGCATCTGACTATCTAAATGGGCATATGTGCACACTTCCTTTCAATGGATGTAAGTAAAAGACTGATGTAAATATACTTTAGTAGACATTTTGTAGATATATTATACATTGTGTACAACAATATTCTAAAAACTTATCAACAATTTCAAAAAGGTTTAATGTTAAATCACAGAATAACATTATAAAGTTACTTATTGATAGTATTAAATAAGGTAAAATTTAGCCCTACCTAAAGCAAAAAATGTACTCACTTAATTATCATTAATTTAATTCTTTATCAAATATAGGCCATACTTAATAAAGGCTTCACTAATGTTAGGCCTAAGACAAGTGGACAGATTTCAGTGTCTGCAATTAGAATTATTTTGTATTATTCTAGAAGTCCTGTATTTAAAGAAGTACTGTTGCAATAAAGACACTGATTTAACTGCAAATGTTTTCCAGGTCTCTGCTAGCAATTTATTATTCGTATTATGCACTATATTATTTAATAAAAATATTCCTGTACAGCTTGTATGTATGTATGTTTTTCTTATAGCAAAACCACATTGGGCTATCTGCTGTGTCAACCAAGGATAATCAAACCCTTGATTTTAGCACTGGAAATCCGTAGACTTATCACTGTCCCAGCAGGGGACACAGCTTGTAAGACTATAACAACTGATAGCACTGCTATGGTAAAAACTTATTCCTGAGTGTAACTATATAACTTTAACAGACACACACACTATGTACATGTAAATGAATCTCAAAAGTATTAATACGAAAATAAGATAATTACTTGAATTATGTATCATTAACCATTTGCTACTACAAAAGTTACCATAGCAATAAGGTAGACCACAATATAAAATTACAAATAGTAATTTCGTACTAATACTCCAGTAGAAATATCACATTTCCAGGTGAATTCATAATAGTATTTCAAGTTTTGTCAAACACTATTAAAAAAAAGTTTCAAAAATATAAGAAAAGGCTTCAATACATTTTTTCAGTGATCTAGACATTTAAGTAAAGAAAAAGGCTATTGTTGGGTATCTTTAACAAAATTAGCATTTACCACATACCAGTAAACAAAAAAGGTATACACAATTTTTCTTACAGTATTGTTTTTGATAAAAGTGCATTTAAAGTGTGAATGATAATTTTCTATTTAAAAACTGAGAAATAACTAGCTCAATGTAACATAAAAAAGTAAACTAAATACAGAGGCTGAGTGCATTATATTGAAACAAATTTGGAACCTCACCATGCTGTTACACTCTTAGTTACTATGCCTTGCCATGCTTTATCAAATGACTGCGCATAGTAACAACAGCCCTGCAGCACAGTTTCCATTTCAAAGGGCTCCAACCTAAGGGTTTCATGTCCAAAGCACTTATTCCTGCTTGCTTTCTATAATCCATGTTTAGTATGAGGACAATGGTTTTCCAGTGCCCATTTTAACAATTCAATCACACATGCCTGGTAATTTGGATAGTATGTCTTTGTATAAAATAGAATGAATACCCATTTCATTCTCCAGCTGATTGAGGTATGTGATAGTTAAACATATATTTAGTGGACACAAGTTGTGTACACTTGACTTGTGTTGCTTTTCAGACAGAAAGACTTTTTGATTATTTTGCATAGATTCTCACCAGATACAAAATGCCACACTTTGGTTACCACAGTAGCAGCATGACTTGCAGGTTTCTTTCTGGTCTCTTTATATTTCAGTAATATTAAATAGAAATGATATCCCTTTCATTGATCTGAGTGCATCTTCATGATCTGAGTGTACAAATATTTTAAATCAGAAATGATTGTTGAAAGCTCTTCCCAAAATCAACCATTTTTCAGTAGCATCATACTACTTACAAAATTCCAAACAATGTAAAATTTTGTTTTGATATATTTCTTTCCATCGTGATTTTATTTTGGTTATGGTTGTCACACTCTTGATAATTTACATATTTAAAATTGTTTAAATATAACATAATCAACCCTCTGAAATGTGCTAAGATGATGAAGTTGATGTAAAAACAAAAGTTACAACTACTAGTTGTACACTGTATGTAACCATGCTTTGATTTTAACATCACAGAAAAAACAATCTAATGGATAATGTGTTAAGATTTCTTAGGACTGATATTTAAGTCTATTAAGATATTGATCTGAAAATGTCTTTTCACTTCATAAACTGATTCATGTAAAAAAAGATATAAACTACTGAGAACACTCTAACTACTAAAACTGTAAATCCAGTGTTCTCAAATTTGGTAGCCCACAGAATATCTTTAAATTCTACAACATACAGTGTCTGATCCAAATTGCATTTGGATATATAAAAAACATGGATATTACAAAAATATTTTAAAACATTTCCTGAATATTTTTGTTAAATGTATATTCCATGATAAAAATGTGTGAGATGTATACAGTTACACACGTACAACAAACACGTATTAAATTATAACTTATAATTAAATTTTGTTCTTAAATATTTTGAGTTTTTCTTGTCCTAAAATTAGACATTAAAATTATTACTGTAAATACATTCAAAATTAATTGAAAATATCTTCCCTTGGAGTTTTTCAACTACAGAATAATCATGTGATGAATATTTATTAACAAAATATGGTATCAGATTTTTGATATTACAAAATGTTTTATTTCATCATTCTTCAAGTTTGTAAAAATTCCTATTTTGAATTTCTTTTCAGATTTCACATTATGCATTTTACACTGTAGAGAATATCAATTTTATACCAGAATATACTCCATTAAATTTTCAAACTCAAGAAAAGGTCTAAGTAAGAATTCAAAGAGGTTAATATCTAGAAATTAATGAAAATTTTCAGAAAGGTATCATTAGTCATGAGACCTCAAACATTTGTGACCACAATAAAATAAATTATAGTTAAAAACTACAGTTATTTTCTTGACACATCCCTTCCTACAAAATACAATCAGCTACAACACAAATATTTTATGAATGTATATAGAAATATCAGTGTTTATACTTTGGAAGTTTTAAAACAATGACCTAAAATTAACATACACATACCTTTGTTTCACTAGAATCTGCATATTCCAAGCCAAAATAATCTACTTCTAACAGGCTGAGCATCTTACAAACTTGTTGAAACAAAAGATTTCCTGTTGCCTTGTGCTGTGAAACAAATATGCTGTGATTAAGAATTTTCTGTGATGCTTAGACAATTAATAAATTACAGAATTGTCATGAAATACATTTTCATTGTAGATTGGAGAACTTAAGTTATTCTGTGCTTTGTTAAAGGCACTTTGCAATAAACTAATTATATGTATTTACATAAGGGAAAACATTATGAGGGAAAATTACCCAATGCCATTACATGTACATGATGTGAGAAAAAATATATATGAAGAGTGTTCAAATAAGCAAATATCAGATTAACCAATAAATGTATGTTAATATAATATATAATGATCTTTACTTCACTTGTGTGTTATATGAATAACACTCATTGCATTCTTTATATGTAAAAATTCTAACATTATGCTAAGAAAATCTTACTTCACACAGTGTCTAGACACATACATGTGAACTCTTAAGCCTAGGTATTAAATTAAAAATACATTTTTTAAAATGTGATAAATATGAAAAAAAAACAGTATTATAATAACCCATTTAAGTTTCATAGTAACATAGCTAACAAAAATATACATGTGACGTGTTTGTGACATTGTAATGTTACATTTAATTGAGTAAAATATTAATACTCTAATGTATATAAAAATTTATATATATTGAAACCTCAACAAATAAAATTAAAATATTACTGTTTTTAACCTTAAACCTTCATAGCTTATTCAATTTGCTAAAAAGTTTCAGATTTCAAGGTGTATGGGAAACATTACTTTCAATGAAACAAATGTAATTAGAATGTTTTGACTAAATAACTAAAATAATATACAATAAGCAAACACCAGCTTATTAACTGTAGCAAAGAAAAAACAAATATCAAAAACGTCACACAATAATTCATCCCAGTTTTGTTTTCTTCTATTTTTATATATTCCTGGACAACCATTTATGATACAAGTTTTAATCATATTCTTATCATAGCACTCTTTAGAGCTAAAAACAATGAAAAGTATTTTGAGGTTCATTATTTTTTGTTACATTAATATTAGAAATGCTGATGGGGTCCAGACCAATTAACTTTTTAAATAAATTTTTTTTATAAAATATTTATGCTAGAAAATGCTTAAACAAACATGAGTTTGTTAATTATGGGATCCATAATAGCATATAAGTCATACAAAAATAACATCAAGCAATACTGCATCTAATCTTACTATGTTAAATCACTCATTTTCTCTGTACTTTACAAAGGAAATTAATAACATACTCCCACTTTTTGGAGGGACCAGTTCTTTACAATGAATTTTGTGACAGACAAAAACATAAAATTTCTCAATACAATGGATAATTTATGCTATAAAAACAAACTGGTAATTTCAGGATTAATTAATCATTTTGATGTGTGTTCTTAAATTTACTTTGAAATTGTGTAATGAAGAAGACTTGCAGAGATAAAATAATCCTCTGACAGATAATAAAACAACACATTTTAAGGTATACATTCATAGACAGACTATAAAAAGAGTAAAAATTATGCAATCTGAAAAAAAGAAGATCAAATATTTCTAAGCCCAATGACTAAAATCACGTTACTCACAGAAAGATGAATGTATAGATGTATTTAATGCAGCATTTATTATTTTAAAGCTCGTTGAGATATAGTTCAATATTTTGTAGATTTTATATTACCTGTAGTCCATCTGGCAAACAATATATGTGCATAAATAATTTAAAAGGACTTAAAAAATTCACAGTGTTTCATCAATTATGCCAAAATTTGTCTTAGACACTTTCTTAGAGAAGCAGTTCATGTTGGCTTCAAATTTCAAATATCATGTGTGCTAACCTACTCCTCATGTTATCACATTGCATAATTAAAACAAGAAAAAGAGGTCATTTTGAACAATCACATAGCAAGACCTCAGCTCAAGAACTATAATATGATGCCCAAACATTTGACATCATGAAATACTGCATTTTCTGTGGGAACAAATGCCTATCACAAGACCTAAGACAGCCTGGAAGGTGCTGGCCAGTTTTTCTGTGTCAAAGAACTGGCAGGCATGGACAAAATACTTTCAGAGAAAGTATACTGAGAAAATGCAAAGAAAGATATGACATCCTTGGGAAGAGTATATGATTTGGATTATGGGAGCTGCTGATGCTCAATGTCACATAACTTATAAGTAGAAAAAAAACAATTCAAGCAGCACAGGTAAATGCATTAGAAACATGGCAGAAATAAAGAAGAAGGTTCTGACAATATCACAAATACAATATTCACTAACAGTAACAAGAGTTGAGAATGGACTTTGGTTGAACTGTACGAGATTTATTTGGAAAACTTGAATTTTGACATAGATGCAAGGATACCAGTTTTATATTCCAGAGAGCTGATTATGGTACTGTTCAGCCACTTTGTTGATACTCTAGTAATAATTTCTTGATGTGCTACTATTATTTGCATTCATGGTGCAGCATCATTTAATCTCAATGTTATGATAGCTGATAATGAAGAAGAACCTACAGTAGATAAAACATCTCAGCAAATCCACTCCAAGGTCAAAGTGATGCTAAAACCTGAGGAATATGATCTAAATAATTTCAACACTATTGTATTTAGTACAAAAAAAAAGTTTCAAATGGTACAACTACAAATATGTCTCTTAGTCTAAAATAATCTATTCAGCCTCACAACACATAATAAAGAAACCAGACCCAAAGATGCACAACTATTTGGCTTCTAAAGAGGTCAATGAATTGTTGTATGAGTATGGGTATAACTTAGTAACAACTGTTTAGGTTCTAAGATTTTAATTTCCTATGACCAAATACATTGAAGAGCAGGATTTCACAGCTCAAGGACTGAAAAATGATGATCCAATGTGTACCTGGTTTGATAACTATCAAAGCAGTATATACAAGGGTAAAAGTGACCATTTTTATATTCATGGTGGCCATTATAGATTTAGGTAAATAAAAAAAAACTGCCCAAGGACATATATTGCAAGGATGTCACCAAACAGATTCTGTTTCAGGATCACCAATAGTCCTATATACACACACATACAAAATGCTGTATATATCATGAGAATGAACTTAGGGTATCTTATGCAAAAGCGACTAAAAACAGATATTTAAGGTACACCAAAAAATGTGGTCAATGAATCTGTTGCTATTACCCTACAAAAATACTCAACAATTAAATCTACTAAATCTCACTTAATTTAATTCATTATAATCACTGAAATCACCAGTTCTATAATAGCATCAAATAATTCATATAAAAAAGGAACTCTAATACGTTTGAAATTATTTATAATTGAAAGATTACTTAATAACCAGTACAAATGATATGACTAAGGCTACAAGTCAAACATTTAAAGCAAATAATAAAACTTGCTGTCTTTCAGAAAATAACAAGTACTGGGTAATTTTACTTTTGGTTACACATGAATTTTTTTACTTTACTGACAGAAACACTCAAATACTCAATATAAATAGTTCTTAGTTTAGCTAATCATTAACTGATAAAACAGTCATCCTAACACATTTCCTAACCCTTTCAGTACTGTTGGGTTATATTCTTTCAAGTGAATGTTTGTGCAGGACTGGTGGGTCAATCCATATACCACAAAAATATATTGAACATGCAAGACACTCCTGCTACTTTCACAATAGAATGTATGTGGAACATTTCTCCATGAATTGCCACTTGAACACATGTAACTAAACAACAATACCTGTTGGGACATACATGTCCCATATGTAAATTTCAGAACATGTGCATGGGAAAAATTTTCAAGAATGCAATAAAAGCATTCCTTGTGTGTATCCTGTCATTTATATGTACTTATGCTGTTTATATTTTAAGAATAGAAAAGACATATACTGAAATGGTAAATCCCTTTTTACCTGAGATAACAAATACAATCATTAAAAAAGGTATGAATTTGTTACAGTATATCAGGAGGTACAGATAATGAATATTAACTGGTAATACATTTCCACTACTTAACTGAAAACTAATCTAATAGTGTGTGATTTGCTTATCTTTATATTCTACTCTTTATTGGAACTAGAATGACTTGAAATTGGGTAGAAAAAAAAAAGAGCTAAAAAAAAACAATTCAGCTATAGTGAAATAACATTCAAATTGTTTGAGCTCTCACTCCATCTTTCTAATTCGAATGAGTAGACGTGCCCTCTGCAACATTTGTGTTAACTGTGATCTTTCGTGTCATTACTGGATTAGTAACAGTTTTTACATTATGAATTTTACCACTTCAACAATACACCATGTAACGAATTTGGTATTATGTATTTATTTTAATATCAACGTTGTTTAGATTAAGTTTATATTTAAAAACATACATAGCTTATACTGTTAAATATGTATTGCTAAACTCCTGCCTATTCTCCAAAGTTGTTAAAGATTTTGGAGTGTAAGAATTAACAATTTATGTATGTACATAAATGCTTAAATTTTTATTGTTACGTAATCTGAATTTTCTAAAAAGCTTCCACACCCCTATAAATATAACCAATGTGATGCACCAAAACAAAAGTATCTATTATTAGTTTGCTATAGTTAGTGTGCTATAAAATTGGAAAACTTCAGATATTTGACCAGGAGCATTTACAGTTTGAACATTACAAACCATTTAACTTCAGTGGATTCACATTGGACATTAGTACTTTTACGAAAACATTACCTAACTTCAACGGTGGAAAACTCGGCATGTGTGGCTGGTGAATAACAAATGCCAAAGCTAGCTAGCTCCCTGTTAAGTGAATTATACCTATGTCAACTTGTAATTAACTTGCTCATAGTGAACCCTTGATAAGATATCAAGGAAGTTCCAGACTAGAAAGAAAAATTTATATTGCTTGTAAGTTTGTGAAAGTTTTTTTTATAAATCATTGTTTGTAATAACTATTGGTAATAACTGTTATTGTAAATTGTATTATTGTGTGTATATTAAAATGTATTTGTGTTAAAAAAACTGTGTGTATCAATCTTGTTGGCAAATATCATAAACTGACTATATATCGGCTTTTACTCAACTACTAAATCCAAAGTACAATTTAACTACTAAATTTTGATTTATCAGTTAACTCAATTTCAGGCTATTTGAAATTCTAATACGTAACAACCAACACATCCGTAACGGTAATAGCTCACAAAAAATAATGTCATTTTAAACTTAAAGTACTTTTTCTAACACCATAAAGGTATAGATTAGTGTGTATCTATAAGAAAATTGCATTATCATCACAATCGTTACACTTACAGTCTAATTCCAAGTGACAAACTGCATAACTTAAAACAAAGCAAAGATTTCGTCAGTGTGTACATCTATAATACAGACATGGTGCAACATCAATAAGAAACTAGTTTAACCAATCTGGATAAAATCAGCCAGTCTTTATTTTCCCAACTTTAGTCACATCACGCTGTCATACGAATCCCTGTGGTTTTATCCTAATGTAAGACAATCTACATAAATATTAAATTTTAACAGGGCCATTATAAAAAGGGCCAAAATAAGTTACAAAAAATCAGTGGCATAGCAAGGGTTATCGGCACCCGGGGCAAAGACACTTTTGGTGTCCCCACCTCTGAAATGTTTTGATTATTTGTTTTGTGACTCATTGCCTTACACAGGCCTAAAATAAAGTCACAATA